CTCCTGCGCAGACGTTGTTAATGGCCCGAGGCCTCACCTAACGTCTGCTCACATTCGCTATGCATTTGACTTCCCATTGTTTAGAACAGCCAATAGAATTTTATGTAAACAATGTAATTATCCCGCCCACAACATGTCAAATGTCATACGGGAAAACCCAGCAAGTTGTCAATTTCCTATTGTAGCAATTTACACTATTTTTGTATTACAAATTACAACTGCGCGATGTACATATAATATGAACACTGAAACAAAGGAAAAAAGTATTGTAAATAGTTGCTTCACATGCAAGGGTGAAGAAATAGATAAAAATAAACGTACGAGACTGTTTGGTAAAAGCAAAACTCACGATTTCGTGGGTATCCTTCGCGAAACTGCGAAAATCGACTTAGACATTTACAGTGACAAATGTGGGCCGACTTCATTCTTGTGTCGTAACTGTGTAAATAAATTAAAGCGTCTGGACGAAGCTAACAAGTCCGTAAGTGAGTTGAATAAGTACTTTCGAAATTTATTTAATGGAAGGGAACTGACACAGAATAACGAGCCAAAGCGAAGATTGCATGACACTAGTTTCGAAGTCACAGAGATAACAAGAAAGTCTCTAAAATTTGATGAACAAGATGACCCCTTACTGGACTCGGACAGTGCAAGTGGCATTGAACAGAAAGACGTTACTTTGATTGTCACACAGCCTTTTATTCCCACCGCCACCGTTCAACCAGGACAAGCGTCACAAGCCTTAACGAGCAATATTGATTTGTGCCCGATATTTATGTCCACGCCTAAGAAAGCGCCAGTGAACAAAAAAACTGATGAGAGCAGGGTTACTATCTCTGTAAAGCAGGGGTCTTCAAACCATGGGTCGCGACCCAAAATTGGGTCGCTAGCACACCCTCGAAGGTCGCAAGGCTTCTCTTGGGTCGCATGGGTCGCAATGCTTGTCTAGGGTCGCGAACTTACACTAGTAAACTTTACAAGACGAGAGATCAAGTGATAAGATGCACATATTTACATATGAATATTTCCTTGCGAAATTTGCGATTATAATGTTTTTTCACGATTATTATGAAGCACTCAAGCACTAGATTGCTAGAATAATATGGTAAACAGGTAAAGCTTTAGATATAATTGAGATCTATCAAAATTTTGGCTAAGTCTCAGCGAAGAACAATATCCAGAACTGAAATCAATGGCTCAGAAGGTATTGGTGAGATTTGGAACCACATATGTGTGCGAATCAGTTTTTTCCGCGATGATGTTCATTAAGAATAAATACAGAAGCCGCCTGACAAATGAGAACTTGTCGATTAACATGAAGCTTGCCACAACATCCTACATACCGAGATATGAAAAAATTGTCAGGGGCAAAAAATGACACTTGATGCGAAAGTTAAGAACTCTACAATCGTTATTAACGATAATTCTAACAGTTGAGTAATACTGTCGATGTTATATAGCTGTAATAAAAATAATAATGTTTCAGCACTCGACTATATTCTTGATTCAAATTTTGGCAGTGTTCAGGGTCGCGGGACACCTATGAAGCTTGGGTTTGGGTCGCCGAAAAAAAGGGGTGAAGACCCCTGCTGTAAAGTATCCTTCAAAGGTGAAAAATAAAAACATTGTAGGAGACTTTGCCAAAATTGTAAAAGCCATTTTGCACCAAAATCCTACAGGGATTGCTAATGTCGTTGTCAAATCGAAACAATTACGAGAGAAGGTCGTAGATCGTTGTTACAACTTATCAAGACAGAAATTGACGATTTGTGTTCTGTAAAAAACCCGTCAATATTACACGGAACAACGAAAGAGAAATTATTGGAGTTTAGCCTGGAAAAAGTTTGCGATGAATGGGCGGAACGCGCTCCAATGTTTCATTCGTTTTTGCGTGCGTGTTGTTCGAAATCCAGAGGCACTGCCAAAGATTTAGAGTGGTCTCCTGCAATGGCTGTAGCTGAATCAGTTCTACTAAAGCAGCGAAATAAGCATATGAATGCACTAGCTTCCATAATAGGACTAACTATAAAAACCAAATCGCTAGAGGTGAGTCACCTGGAAAAAACATACTTGATTTTATACACAATTATTCTATTTGCCTGCTTTTTTACAATACATTTGTTTGTATGATTTTATACAATCCAATGACCATACAATATGTATATTTTTGTATATGCGAGTTCTGTTTTGCAGCAGTCTTGAAAATATAGATAGATCAATGAAACCCCTTCAACTATCAAACATGTTCACACAACTATATATTTCATTACAATTTATACGGCTATTATATGTGATTTGTAGACGGTGATTAACACTTGTGCGAAGCTAAGAATCACATGCTGCAATCAAACAGTCTTACGAAAAATGGACATCTTGGGAGAAAACCACGACGAGCTGTTGAAAACTGCCAAACAAAATTTGGAGGACACGTTCCAAGAAGAAAACGGTTCTTCGGTCCATCCAGGTTATACTATCCCTTTTGATAATGTTGACGTCAGGATTGAACGTAGACAAATGACAAAGACATCCCAAAATATGGATTGCCATTGGGTTAATCATCTTTATGTAGAGAACAGAATTTCGGGAAGTCATTTGCCAACCCACTGCAACAAGAGTATTGATAGCTTGGAGAATATTGATCTACTTGTGAGTGCAGAAGATGAGAAGAAGCAAAGATTTGACTTCGCGATATTGGTTTCACGTTTCCTAGTAGAATACTTCGAACATTTTGAATTTCTTAAACAAGTGTGTGTGTTGCATATTCAACATCGTTATAGCAAAGAAATGGCAAAAAAATCTGTCAAGGTCTGGTTAAGTGGTTTTGTAATTACTATGTATTTTTCTGTTTATTATATAAAGAACAATATTTGAAAAGCGATAATTTTTACAGAAAAGCGATAATTTTCACATGTGAGATTATCATAAATAATCTCAGATGTGAGATTATCACTTTTATCAGTGCTCGAAATCTCTATAAAGCCCTATACTTTATATAATAAATCACAATAATTCATGCTTGTATTAACTTGTTATTGCATGATTTTACTACTCCATTTCCACTCAAACATGACCAAATTGTATGTTATAGAGTACAATACCGTGACATATGAACAGCTTGTCTGGGGGGTACACCCCGTGACAACCTGGGGGGGAGTGGGAATTATTTTGTAATTTAGCCACTATAACGACCCATGCATAAAGTCGTTTAATGCAATAAAATATCAAGCCCCCTATATCGTCAAGGGGTACATTATATAGGTCGCTTAATAGGGGGGGGGGGAGCTAATATAAAATTTGTGGTACATGAACTAAAAATAGACACAGCCAGGCTAAGATGGAAGTTGGCACTGTAACATGTAACTATGATCATTACCACAAGACTAATATAATTTTGTGATCATGAGTTAATTGTATATCTTTATTTTATAGGCTCCTTTGGGAATTATTTTCAAGAATGAAAATACAAATGAAGAAATGATTGAAATTCTAAAGCAATTGCAATCATACTTGCCAAAACAGTCAATCCGCAATGAGACCAAATTCGACCCTCAACTCTTTGCTGGGGATCAGCTTACTGTGGAACGAGCAATAAATGTCATCCAATCTGTGATGAATGGATACACACCAGAAGATCGCCTTGAAGGCATTATTATGCAGCTGGGTGATTGGCATGCCGGACTCAAAATACTTTCAGTGAGTCAACAAATACTTTGAAAGAGTATTATGTACAGTATTAACCTTTTTAAGTTCTAATGTGCTTATTCTGTCTAACACCATTCGATTTTACTTGTCATAGGGAAAGGCTTATCAAGTTCTCTCAGATAGCTTACTGTATTTCTCTTAATATTTACCTTAACCCTTAACCCACAGTGTAAAATAGTCTGGCATTTGACAGAGTAAAATAATAAAGTGTGGCACATCTGGGTGCATTGTCACTTAAAGGATTAACAGAGCTAGTGCATGTGCAGCTAGCCTGATTAACACATTGAATGGCAGCAATCTCCCCCCCCCCCCTATTAAATAAAGGGGGATGCAAGGGTTAAGCAACCTAGTTTGGTATATTACTCTACCAAATAAAAAAATTACTTGCCATTGTTATTGCATGGTTAGAACGTTAACTACAAAAGTAGACTGCACCTCATGGCACCTTGGTGTTTGATGATCAATTTCATGATTAATGTCTATTATAGCATACCTTCAAGCATGTTATATCTTTTATTGACAGATGATATATGAGCGTTTCTACTCAGTCAAGTCAGATGGAGACATTTGCACAATGTATTCAGACAGAACATTAATTAATCGTAGAAATGTAGTGAATGATCCAAAGAATGCATATGCTGCAAATCGAGATTTTCTTATACTTGAGGTGAAAGCAAGAGTTATTGCAGCAGCGATGGAAGTTTTGGGATTTCAATCGAAGTCAGGAGCACCAACCAAATTCCCTATTCCAGAAGACCTAGAAGACCAGACCACATCAGAAAAACGAAAATATCTTCATAAAGCTGCAAGCAAGATTGTGGAGAAAATCATCTTTTCTGAAGAAGACACAAACAACCTCATAAGTGGCATCCTGAACATGCAAGATAAAGAAAATGCGATTAAGAATCAGCAGTTGACAAATGATGGCAGATTCCCATGCCGTTTTAGTGGATGTACTCTATCATTTAAGTATGATGGAAAGAGTAGGCGTAAACACGAGCTCACCCATCACCCACCACCTGTGATCCCACATGCACCAGAGCCAACCAATACCACTGCAGAAGAGTCTTCACTTAGCGATGAAAGCTTGATGAAAGATGACATTTTATAACTATAACTGTGGTCTTCTTTCACATGGCATGACATTTCTAAACTTTCTTGACGCTGTGAAAGAGGGTGACGGGTGTCGTATAATGAGGCAATATAAATGTTTCTAATAAACACTATATTGTCCCCCCAGAGATGCTCATAGATACATCTGGAACAGGGGTGTCAATAACCATGGTATGTTGGGGAAAAATATCCCATTGGATCTGGAGGTGGAACACAGCAACCACTACTTGAAACAAGCTGTGAAGAACTTGGGGCCCAATGTGAATCCTGCATCAATTTCTCGAATATGCAAATCTGAGAAATGTACCAGGACAATAATAAACACTTTGCAAGAAAGTGTTAAGAAAGGCTTCAAATCTGGCAAACACACGAATAAAAACGATGATGAAGATTTAAAAACAATTGTTGATAAGCTCGTGGAACATCATGCATTTGTGAAGCAAAATGCTCGTACATATCATAGTTTCAACAATATTGATAGAAACCCGCTATTGGGCCTTGATATATCAATGGTTTACAAGTGGATCAATGAGCACAAAGAAAATATAAAGAAGAACACAAAAGCAAGATAAACTGAAAATAATAAATCTTACTAATTGTGGTTGTCTTCCACACTCATTCAACCATTGTGGGTGCATGGGGGAAGGACATTCAGGTATTCGGTAATCTGATTTTTGCCTTTTTCATATTCTATAATATAGCATGTAATATATAACACATGCTCTGATTGGTTGAAACCAGCTGCGTTTTGGATCAGACCATCCAAACACGGAAGACTAAAATGTTGTTGTTATTTTATAAAACAATTACTTTATGGTTTCTGTGTTTGGATGGCCTGATCCATACACACGGGAATGTTGCAAGAGTTAAGAAAAGCGAGCAAAATTACGAGCCGAAGGCGAGTATATTACAGTACAATTAGTCATTTTTGAAAGACTGTGGTTTGTTTCTGAAGCCTTGTAATAAACAATTTAACATCCGAAGTTTTTTGTTCATTAATTTAACAAAATTTACCAAATATTGTAGATTCTCAGGTACCTTTGAATGCCCCTCTCCCATATACATATTATTTGCAATACTGACATGTTAACAAGTATTAAAAAGAAAGTAATAGTATACCGTAGTATAACACCACAACATACCTATTAATTGCCGGATAAAACAATGTAACCACTGATTAAATCCATTTGTTCTTAACTGTATACAGTTTTACGTTTATGGTTTCAATTAGAAAGATTCTTCAATGTTTTCATTAGAGTCATTGTCATTCAAATGGGAAATGGATAGGTTTTCCAGAGCCATGTTTAAAAGATCAGAATCGTCAAGAAAGCATGCCCATTCGTCATTTATATCTTCTTCATCAACATTGTCATCATCATCATCAAATGTAGGTATTAATAAATTACATGCACCAGTTATACAAGTATCTTCATTGTTATCAAAAACGTTACAAAGCATCAAGTAGATGGAATGTGCATGGTTATGATGCCAAATTTCAACAAATTTGTAAACATCATCAACGGAAAAAATAGACCCACAATGTTCTAACACTTGATTCATTTGAACTTGCCCAAAGCCAATCACCATTTGTGGAGGAATATGTAAATGCATTTGGCCCATTGATACCTTTCCAATTACATCCATTAAGAGCTTCTTTTGAAATTTCACTAGTTCTTCTTTTAGTTTCTGGTAATGTGTAGAAGTGACTTCCCTTATTACATTAGAGATAGGAAGTTCAACATTAAGTTGAGAAGGATTTGCCAAAATACCAGGATAGATAGAATAAGATTTGCATTGTGTCATCCCACACATGCAATTCAAAGCACAATTATCACAACACAAGTGTGCAGGCTGTGGGGACTGGACATTACCAAGTGAAATTCCAAAATGGCTCAACAAACTCTTTCTTCTACATTCTGTAGTTTTTAAATATTCCTTGATGTTGTTTTCTACATGACCCAGTAAAATTCCTTGATAGATAATATATGACTTGCTAAGCTGTCCATCTCTTCCTATTCTTCCACTTTCTTGTATGTACGATTCCACATTCTTTGGTGGACCAAAATGAACTGATGTGTGAACCCTTTTGCAGTCTATACCCATCCCAAAAGCAATTGTTGCAACCAATGCCTTGACTGTACCATTAGGATCTTGAAATGATTTGATAATGTTGTCCTTGTTAGCTTGTGGTGTACATGAATGAAGCATTTCTAACACAGCACTTTCAACTGATTGTCCAGAATGAAAATGTTCACCAAGACAAGCCCTGAGTTTAGAATAAACAACACTACATTGCTTGATGGTTTGGCAATAAATGATAACTCGTTCTGCGGAACTTCCCATGTTAATGATTTCATCAACAATCCATTGAAAAGTATCATCAATTCTATGCGATTGTTGGATGTAGGTAACAGAATACATGACATTTTTCTTGTTGGGACTTTCTTGTACCTCTACTGGATTATTCATACACAAAGTATCCAAGATAAATTTCTTAGTATCAAGAGTAGCAGTTGCTGTAAGTGCAATGAAGCTTACATCTGGTGACAATAGGGCTCGAAGCTCATGCAGGCGACCATATGCTTCACGGAATGCTGCATATTTAGAGCTTGATGATGTTCCCCTAAATCAATATTAAACCACATATTAGTCTTGCTAGCTTCGTCTGTATTTTATAATGGCAGACAATTTTACTTGTCATTAATAAGATTCTTGAACATAAACAAGTCAACCATTAGTCATTAATGAATGTATTCAGTTGGACAAAAGCTAATTACATGCAGTGGCAGTCTCAGTTTATACTATAAAGCACCAGTATATTGATTACAAGGAACGAACTTGGCCAGGGATAAAATGTCAACTGCTAAAATACCAATGACCCCATCATAATTTATCATTTTATTTTCAATTGTTATTAGTACTTATTAACCATTTACAGTATTTATTTGGTATTGTTTTAACAGGACTAAAACATTTAATAGACGATACACCCCCCCCCCCCCCCATTAGCAATTTCTTAGGGTTGACACAGAGGGTTTGAGGCTAATGAAGGTTCATATTTACTGAGGACGAGCCCTGTCAAGTTTTTTTGTGAATGGTAATATATAAAATATTTTATATCCTCCCCTTCACAAAAAAAAAACTTGATAGGGCTCATGGAGTTAAGAGTAGAAAATGCAATTTTTTCTTAGGGCCTCTTAGGGGTTGGGTATATGAGTATAATACCCAAACTGCAAGATTATTAATAATGGTAGTATTTAAAAAATAGAAATCAGAGGGTTGGGATGTGTATATTGACAATAATGGCTCATATATACTGTATAATATTGTTAGTACGACATTCAATGCCAATAGATAATATGAGGCAACGTATAAAAAGACAAATTCAAGACATACAATACATACCATTGTTTAATCACATGCGCTTCATCAATAGCCACAGCACAAACCATTTTGCTGTACACTTTGTTGGAAAGCATTCTTCTCCATCGTTCGGTCTTCAATAATGCCTCTGGTGTGCCATATACTACAGAAAATTTCCCTTCTTGCAATGCCTTCTCTTCTTCGTCGCTCTCGATTTCACTTAACGACACAGCACTGACTCCTAAATCGCGTAGCTTCTTTACTTGATCTCGCATCAAATTAATCAAAGGCGAAACCACGATAACTACATGTTTACCACCAAATTTTTCATCGAATAGCTTAGGTAACGCTTGATAAATGAGTGATTTTCCTGCGCCAGTTGGGAGATTAACAAAAACATCCTTCCTTTCGTTTATGATAGAATGAATAGCCTTTTTCTGATGAACAGTAAAACTTTCAACTTTAAAAATATTGCAGATTTGTTGATAATGGCCTTCCATTTATCTTGCCGTGTGTTGGGTTTTCCATGTGAAGGTCATTGAAGGTCGATCTTCCAATTATCGTGTAGATAATTGTGATTGGTCAATTGCCGGGAAGTCAAATGCATAGCGAATGTGAGCAGACGTTAGGTGAGGCCTCGGGCCACTAACAACGTCTGCGCAGGAGGCTAAGCTCTAATAAGATTGTGCAAGGCATGAGTTTATTTAGAACAAACTTAATTGGTTTCATTGGACTAGGGGAAACAAACAATCATGATCATAATTGTCTACAATTATTACACTCACTCGAAAAGAGTTTCCATATTTGCTACGCTGACCTCTTTGGCCAACAGTTGTTGAAAATACTCTGTTTCCCGAGCAACTACTATTTTTCCACTACCTGCATTAAAAATATAATCAAAGTTTTTTAATTGTCAAAATTAATGATTAAAGGGGAAGTCAAGTCCATTCTGCGCATCGGTTCTGCGCATAACAATGTGAGGACCTCTAATGTGAAAATTGCCCAAATTTCTGAACATAAACTTTATTTCATATTCATTTAGAAGCATAGCAAACCAAAATGGTGTTAGATATTCAGACAGTACATCATATTTTAAAAAATACAGCAGTTCAAAATGTAAACAAACCGTTTGTTTACATTACGGACTTGACTTCCTCTTTAAGTTGATAACTTAATTGACAGCTAGCAAACGTTTATTATTAAATTGCTGTGCATGGATATGCAGGAACAAAGAAAGCTGCCTTGTAGGACAAATAGATCGAAAGACAGGTTAATTATTAATGTGTGTATTATGTAGTCACCTCCCTACTGCAGTTGGTTTCTTAATGAATGATGTTAATGTGTCATCCTTTTCTTTGACATTCATTAAATAACATTGTTGCCCCTGATGTCGAGTTGCTAATGTATAGGCAACATTCTTGTAGTTTCCGATGTAGGAAGCCAGTCGCTTGAAGTACCTGTGTTTTGCTTCAAAACGCATGCACCATGTGCGCCTCATGGGTCCAAACCTAGTATGAAAAAAAACCCAAGACAAATTAAAAAAAAATTTTGGAACCAGCATCAATAACAATGCAGTTAATCAGGGTAATTATTAAGCATTTTTGAATTAATTGTTCATTGTTTTGTTTTCTGTTTAAGGATAGTAAAGTGTTTACTGTACCGAAGCATGTGAGAAAGATAATGAACCATGTAGTGCATCTTGGGAATAATGGATCTGCCAGGATAGAGGTTGACAAATGTGGAGTGATGTTCTTCAATAAGCCCTTCTAAAACGCCAATGGAGTAAACAGTGGTTTTGTGGGCCAAGATAATGTCGATGATGTCTAACAACACCCAGAAAAGTTGCCAATGCTTGTCATCTTCTGGAATAAGCGTACCAATTATCGGGGGTAAGAACATCCCCAAACAGTACATTTGGGCAGCTAGAAACAGAATGACAAAATTATAATTATACAAGTCATTTAATAATATTTCAAACAGTGCCTGCCACTCTTGAAAATACTTATTATTTTTTAAATTCAAGTGATGATTGAGTAACTGTTTTTTTTCCTATGAGCTAAAATAAAAAGAATTTAAATACAAATGTTTCAATCATTTCATGTATCTCGTTCACTCTTCCAAATTTGGGTCTTACTAATGGAAAATGATATTCGTGAATAGATAGATATAGTCATGCAGTAGCGAAACAGCCATCTCTTTAACACAATTTTCACCTATTTGTTTTCTGACTAATTATTAATAAGCGAATAATTAGATTCTTCCCTATCAATTTATATGAGGTTTATTGTTTGTGCTTCACCCTATTAAAATCGAGAGCGAATAATCTAATTGTAAGTTGAACTTATTGGTTTTCACGTAATATTCCAAATCCGAAAACGAGGAGTGGACCGGATTTCAAGTCCGAGCAGTTTGTTCCTAGGACTGAATTGATCTTGATCCAGTCATAGGACTGGAACAAATAATTCAGTCCTAGGACTGGATCAAAACCCTGCCCGCTTTTTATAGCGATGGCCATAACTTCTCCAGGTATCCAGTATCAACATGTGGACAAAATAAAGCTCTTTGTTTGGCTAATGTCTTCATGAATTATTATCATTAATAATTATGAGATATATACATTTAGCGTATGTGAAAGAAAATTGTGTGAACCCTCAAAATATTGTGTTGTGAATATGAAATTACTATACCTTTTTGCCTTAAGCTGTTGTTTTCGCTTGCAAGTGTACGTTGCAAAATGGGTGATGGCTTGTTCAGATCATTATAATAGCCATAGTCAAACAGCTTTATCCGGGTGTTCAATTGTTCCAGTGTAAAATACTTTTCTTCATTTATGAGTATTTTTAGCATTTCCTTGCATTCATATTGCAGAACACCTTCTAGTATGTCATGCATTGCATCACCCGGTAGGCCATCAATTACATGGAAGTAACGCAAATCCAGAAGAATTTATCTTCGTTTGACACCATAAGTGGTGGATAGCACTGGATTTAATTCTATTTGCTCGCAGTGGTGATTGTGACCATCTTTGGTTCGCAGAACAAAGTCTCTTTCAAAGAACTACAATAGAACAAAGTCTCTTTCAAAGAACTACTAGCCATCTTCGTCCTATATCTTTGACATCTATCCTCTCGAAAGTTGCGGAAGACTTTGTTGTAGAAGAATTTGTAAAGCCTGCAGTTCTGAAGAAGGTGGATCCAAATCAATTTGGGACGATACCTGGTAGTAACACCACCCAGGCCCTGATCAGCATGCTGCATTCGTGGAATAAAGCAACTGACGGTAGTGGCGCAACTGTCAGGACAGTATTAGTTGACTTTAAGAAAGCTTTCGACTTGATCGATCACCATATACTTGTAGACAAACTAAAATCGTATGATATTCCTGAAAGCATTGTTTTGTGGGTTATTGACTTTCTTACTTGTCGCAAACAACGTGTCAAACTTGGTAACGACTGCTATTCTGAATGGAGAACTATTCCATCTGGGGTTCCCCAGGGTACCAAACTCGGGCCGTGGTTATTCGTTATCATGATAAATGATTTGAAAATCCAAGATTCGGAACTCTGGAAATACGTCGATGACACAACGATGTCTGAAATTGTTGAAAGAAACAACGAATCCAACATACAGGAGAAAGTTGATGAACTTACACGACATATTTCTATTGATAAACTTACGCTAAACGAGTCCAAGTGTAAAGAGTTACGTATTAGCTTCAGTAAATCTCCTCCCGATTTCGATCCTATTACCATCAACAATAAGCAACTGGAGGTCGTTGAAAGTGTAAAACTCCTTGGCATGCAGATATCCAACGATCTTAAGTGGAATAGCCATATATCTGTTATTATGAAGAAAGCGAATAAGCGTTTGTATTTTCTGAGCCAACTAAAACGTTCGAACGTGGGCAGTAAGGAACTTATTACCTTTTACTGTACTTGTATAAGACCTGTTACAGAGTATGGCTGCCCAGTATTTCACGATAGCCTGCCAAATTACCTTGTTAAAGACATCGAAAGAATACAGAAACGCGCGATGCGGATAATATTTCCAGCCTTATCATATGACGAATCTCTCTCCGTTGCTGAGTTGGTCCCTCTAGAAGCACGAAGACAGCAACTAACGGACAAACTATTCCAGCAAATTATTAGCGACCCAAGTCACAAATTGAACAAACTTTTACCACCTGTAAATGAATGCCAAATTAAGCTTAGGAAGAAACGACTTTTTAAAAATCAGCTTTTTAAAACAGACCGATTTAGGAATAGTTTTATAACTCACAATGCACTGAAAATGCGCACCTAGGTATAGTAGTAGACAATTATAGTCAACTTATACGCACATTGCCTTTTGGCTCCAAACTTTTAAAATTTTTAATAGTTATTCTAATTTTAAACTATATGTAATTCTTAGCGTAATTCAGCTTTTGGCTGCAATGCTTTGCAAATAAACCATCTATCTCATCTCTTATCTATAATTAATAAAAGGTAACTTCAAAACCTATTTTCAATAGTAAAGTCGTTGTTGGAAAAGTATGCACAACCATAAAAGCGAAATGCTTTTCGAGGTTTTGTGTGTCGTCGATAAGAAACGTCGATAAGTATTTTGCTCTTTATATAGGCTTGCGTTAGCCTTCTCGATCTGCAGGCAGTGTTTGTTTCCAAAATATAACACAATTATACCAAACTTTCAACAGGAAGACAAAATAGTTTAAATTTATTTTTCATGGAAGAAAGAAATAGTAAGGGGTTAGTAACTGATGACGTCCGCCCGCCCATGCTGTACTAACCACTTTTGCATCACAATGTCTTATCTATGTGTATTCTCCACGCACTGCAGCCGGGAATTATTTTCCGTAGGTTTTTCATTATTTCCTGAGTTCCCATGCCCTCTCTACATTTGCGATTAGCTGCCGAACCTTCTTTGAACCCTCCCAATAGTTGTGAGCCAAGGTTATCTCCAGAACAGTAAATGATCGTGCCTTGCATACGTTGAATTTTACCACTAATTTCAAAACCATACCCTTCATCCTAAAAAACAATTTCTTTTAATTTCTTGTGGCGCAATTATCAGAAAAGAAACTTTCAACCTCGTACACAGGGTTCTATCTCTGCTCCCAGTGCCCTCCCGCTGCGAAATACAAACTCACCCTAACCCACTCTTCCCTCGTGTCAAGTAAATGTTACTTTCCGTATTTCTGGAAGCACGTCACCAGCCTGGACCAGGGTTTTTTCGCAGCGGGAGGGCACAGGAAGTGCAGATAAATATGTAGGATCAATATTTGTTCCAAACTCATGGTACTTATGTGAAAATAGTCAGCCGATGTGAAAGTTCGTAGGTTTGGTTTCCTCCCACAGGGAGTATAAATGTTAACAGGGTTGGTTGGGTTTCACCCCTAACCGGCCCTTCCACTGTAGCTGCGTTTTGCGCATGGCCAGATATGTGACAAAAAATGGCTGCTAGATACGCTTTTATAAAGCATACGACTCGATCACGTTTAGCAATTGAGGTCAGCTCTCAGTTGCAAAAAAGGTTTACGGGATAAGCTACAAAAATTACAAAATCCAGCAGCTCGAATAATTACTAGGAGCAACTATGAAATACGCTCTCCCAAATTTTGAATAACTTAAATTGGCCGACACTAGAAGATAGGCGAATGAAACAAAAATCTTGTCTAATGTTCAAAGTATTCCACAAATTAGGCCCATCTTATCTTTCACAGCCATTTAATCGAGCGAATCTGATTTACAGTCATGGTACACAAGGTCATAACTACAATTTTGTTATCCCCAAACCAAACACCAATTTTTTGAAAAATATAATGGAGCAGTGGTATGGAATTCAATTCCAATTGAAATTAGGAATTCCACTTCACTTAAAATTTTCAAAAATAAACTGTAGAAATAATTTGTTATGCATGTATATAGCTTTAATTTCTCATTATTCTTGTAAATATTGTAAATATTTCAAATGTCATGGCGCCTGGGAAGATCATCTTAATTTGGATGACTGGCCTCCGTGCTTAATTAAATAAAGTTCACTATCACTATCACTATCGCGAGTTTATTTTAAACCTAAAATGTAAACGTGTGTTACGACCTAAACGGTCTTGAATTATTTAGTACAAGTTGCAAGTATAAATTGGGATGTTAAAATATTAGGTAATTCGATGTTCATCATACTTCAGACACACACCTAAAATCAAGTAGTTATGCTTATACTTGTTTAATTAACGAGTTAAATGTATTTTATCTATTTCTAGGAGTGCATATATATAACATTACCCTTTCGAGTTCCTTGAGATCGTTCATGAAGTGCTCCAAGATGGCATCGATACCATATTTCTTGACAAGTGGAACTGTCACAAGTGCCACCAGTTGGATGGAATGTAGTTGAGATCGATGCTCAGGTTTTATGTTCCCTAACATGTAATATACTGCACCTGAAATGAATGATGTCACATTCTACATTATTTGTTACTAAAATATACCTTGTCGGAACTAATGTAAACATTAACAGCAAACACTATACTAATCAACTAACATAAATAATATAGTTCATGTTTATTATACTAACCTAATTACTAATTCACCGGAAGTGATGGCGCTAATTCATTGTTTGGGTTAGCCAATAGACAGAGACTATTTACATGTGCTTTATGGGGGGATATATTTGTTATTGGGATCGGGAAATTTGTACTTTTACTTGATTTTAAACTGTGATTTGCTGTGTTTCTTATTATTATTGTCTGGGCAACGGGCAGTAGTTTCCTACACGTGGCACCTCGCGACGAGATATTTGTGTAAACGCTCGAAGAGCAAGAATTCGCAGTTTTCGAATAGCTACAAAACCAACTGAACTCGACGAAGCACAGCAAGCGCTCGAGACAAAATTGAAACATATCGCGATAACTCGAGAGAAAACCGAGAAAATTCTCTCTTCAAACAACGCATAGAAAGACATCGTGATGCTTTAAAGGATCTGGTAAATGCTGCAGATAGTTCTAAACGAACAGTAGAGGGATTAAAAATTGCAAATGGCGAAGATATTGAGAGTGTTACAGAGTGGGGAGAAAAGATAGAAAATACCATCGGCCAGGCTGACATCGACTTGGATACGTTACAAAAGTGGATCATTAAAACCAAGGAACATACTACAGCTAAAAGTAGAAAAGAGCAACTAGATTTCGAAAAGGAATTATACGAAGCTAAGCTACATTATAAAACCCAGTTAGAGGAAACCAAGCAACAACAAATCGGGGGAGAAACATCGAGTTCCATGTTCTGGGCTCGAAGCGAAGCTACCAAAGTTAGTAATAACAAAATTCAATGGAACCTACGAAGATTGGCAACGATTTTGGAACCAATTTCGAGAGACAATCGACAAGTCAAGCGTATCGAGTGTGACAAGGTTTTCGTACTTAAGAGAGTTATTGGATAAAAAAGTCAAACCAACTATCGAAGCCCTGCCCTTCACGAATGAAGGCTATAACCGTGCAAAAAGTATTCTCCAGTCGAAGTATGGGAAAGAGTCTGAAATTGTCAAAGCGTACACTAAGCAAATTTTGGATTTACCTTACATCTCGGATGCAAACGTTGGGAAAGTTCACGAATTTAGTGAGAAACTTTCCTATTGTGTTCAGTCATTAGAAACAATGGGGAAGCTAGAACAAATAAATGGTAACGTTGCAATGACATTGGATAAGTTAGCTGGAATACGAAGCGATTTGGTTGGGACCGACCCGGAATGGGAGGACTGGGACTACAACAAACTGACTGAGGCCCTAAAGTTGTGGACTCGACGAAATCCCATCAATGATTCGATAAAGAAAGACACTCATCCACGAAATCGTGACAACAAGGTATTCAATACAAAGCTGGGTGCGCGAGGGTGTGTTTATTGTGATGCAAAGGAGCACAAGTCGACTGACTGTCCCAAAGTTGTCGATACCAAGGAAAGAAAGTCAGTACTGGCCAAACGGCGACTTTGTTTCAACTGCACGGGTGAAGGTCATCAAGTGGCGAGTTGTACAAGCAAGATAGAATGTCAGAACTGCGAACGGCGACACCATACATCAGTCTGCAACCAACCGAAGGAAAGGAATAACCTCATGACTGCAAAGAATGGCGAAGGAACATTTCCAATTGTGACGGTGAAGGTGAATGGGGTAACCTGCAGAGCCCTTGTGGATTCGGGAGCTGGCAGCTCATACGTTTCAGCTAAACTGGTTAGTCTCCTGAATAAAAAACCTGTTGATGTGAAAATGAAACAAATTGATATGCTTATGAGTAGTAAGTTGGAACGCCTCGAGACATACGAAACTGAGATACAGTCAGTTGATGGGGACTTCAGCATGCAAGTGGACTTAATCAAGGTAAATAAGAGGGAACTCTTGTCAATTGACAACCCACACTATAAGGTCCAAGTTGATACCTACCCCCATCTTAAAGGAGTGCATATTCATGATGATGATGCAAAGCCCCAGTTACCAGTGCATGTTGTTCTTGGAGGGGGGGAGTATGCCAGAATAAAAACCGAGAGTTGTCCGCGAGTTGGGAAAGAAGGTGAACCCATCGCTGAACTCACAAAGTTGGGGTGGTTTATTAGGTCTCCAGGACAGGAGTTTGACCATAATAACATGATGTTAACACAGACCTCTCAGTCAGATTATGAGGAACTCTGCCGACTAGATGTACTGGGACTGTCTGACACAGCAGAGCACGACCAAAGTGAAGTTTACAGGGAGTTTAAGGAGCAGTTACAGTGATCTCCAGAGGGCTGGTACACAACCAGTCTACCTTGGAAAGGAAATCATTCTCCCCTTCCTATAAATGAGAAAGGAAGCCTTCGGCATCTCACATCCCTGCAGAATCGTCTTCTCAAAAGGGGACTCTTCGAACAGTACGATGCTATAATCGAAGACCAAAAGGTTCAAGGAATTGTTGAGGAAGCACCAGCAAAACCTGAGAACAGGGAGAGTTACATAGCCCACAAGGAAGTGGTGAGAGAGACAGCGACATCTACCAAACTGCGTGTAGTATATGACGCATCAACGAAAGCAACCCCAGACAGTCCTTCACTTAACGATTGTCTTCATCCCGAAGACAGGGGCGGATCTAGGGGTGATCAGAGCGATCACGTGACTAAGGTAAAAATTGGCCAGAAAAATGAAAAATTGTTAAATTAAAATAGCAGTCCAGTTATCAAACTTCGCGCAGTGTAATGTATTGAAAGCTTAACAGTCCAGTTTTGAAATATCATTCAGTAGCAAGGCCTTCGAACATGAACGCGCAGAAAAGCGGTCTTACGCATGAGTTTTGCACGCTCTGAGTCAGATTCCAGCCATCTGATTGGCTACCTCGATTTTTGCGCGATCTGTGGGGAGTTCTGATCGCTAAAGTGATCAGGGGCTCGAATACAGGCTATCCGATTGGCTAATTCAAAACAATCCTGAATTCCCATTGGCTGGATTTTTTTGATCGATCAGGCTTCATTAGTGCACGGAAAGGCTACGACGTTTCGGGCCTTCTGATCGCTACTTTGTGCTTGACCGCAAATTATTAAAGTTCAATGGGAAGATTTACTATCAGAAATTCTGAACTAATACCAGCCATGTCTGTTAGTATTTACGAAACTGTAAAGGCTGCTTTAGAGAATGACGATCGAAAAAATGTCAAAGATATTGAAGCTGATTTAAACAAGCGAGTAATGGTCTACCGAAGCTTTCTATTAAAGATTTATTGAGCGTTGTGAATATTAACATAAGCAGCCTTCCTCGCACGAAATTTTGGTGCGGAATCTTACATCCTGAAGTACGTTCGAGAGAAGACAAAAATCTTTTGTACGGCCTTAACCTATTTTAACTAGATATAGCATTATAACTGTAAACTGTTGTATACGACGGTGGATTGTGCGTCTGTACGCACATGCATGCTATAATATCGGCGGGTACGCGTATAAGACGTATAATAATACGAGACGAAATTTACATAATATTTCCGTCAATTTATATAAATATTGCGGCTTAATACAGGCAGTTTCAGTGTGTTTATACTTTGTTTATGCTTCTTGTGGCATGTAGACTTTATATATTAATCAGATCGCTACTTGATAACACTGTTTATACCTATTTAATATTTTAAACTACAAGAACACGACAATGTAGCACGTTACGGCCTCGTGTAATACGATCTCTACAACATGTACACAACAAGTAAAATGGATCATGTTGCCATTGTGAATACTTATTTATGGCGCATGTTTCTGCTACGAATGAAACTCGAGGAGCAGTGAATTAAACGTGGAAATTCTCTTCCTGCTTAACAAACAATCAAATGTTTTAAACTGCATCACTATATTGCATTTTTTTGACCATCCTGTTCCATGTCAAAGGAAAAAATATGCGATTAAATAACAATTCGTCAAGTCATCCTTGTCAATCTATTTCTCGATGAGAATTGGATATCTGTTTGACATTCGGCGAAAAAGCAATTTTTTAAGTTACATTTTTTCGTAAACAGAACACATATAAAAAATATTAATTTGCTTGGCAACCCCCCCCCCCTCTCCGACCCCCCGTCGAAAGTAACCCTCCGCCAGTCAAAAGTACCCCCTCCCTCAATGTTCAGCAACGAAATTTTTGACTAACGTACGAAAAATCCTAGATCCGCCCCTGATCCCGGACCCTCCTTGCAGAATAAACTCTGGGAAGTGCTCGTGCGACAAAGAACCCACCCAGTGGCCTTGGCAGGTGATATTAAACAAGCTTTTCTGCAGATACGCATCAAAGAGACGGAGAGAGATGCTCTTCGATTTCATTGGAGATGAAGAAATGACGAAATCCAGATCCTACGGTTTACTAGGGCGCTGTTTGGACTAGCACCATCACCATTTCTTCTCGGTAGCGTCCTGGAAGCACACCTGGATATGTGGAAAGAGAAATGACCCAACGATGTTGAAGAGATCAGACGCAGTTTGTACGTTGACGACATTCTCAGCGGTGGTGAAACAGTTCAGCAAGCACAAGAGCGAAAGGAAGCTGCCATAACTATACTTGATGATGCCAGATTCTCACTTCATAAGTGGGCATCGAACGAAAGCGACCTTGAAGACGAACCAAAACTGCCAACCAGTGATGAAGACCAGATGGCTGCAAAGATGCAGTTGGGCGTAGCACCGACACTTGGAATGCCATGGAACAAAAGGGAAGATACCTTGGGTGTGCAATTGACCCATGAAGAGAACAGCGCAACAACAAAACGGGAAATCCTCAGACATTTGGCTAAAGTTTATGACCCCCTGGGCCTTGCTTCACCATTGACATTGCTAGGGAAGATCATCTATCGAGACATTTGTGATGCAAAGCTCCCATGGGATGCTGAACTTGACGGCGTGCTGAAGTCACGATGGTTGTCATGGAAACGGATGCTTCCTGATATGATAACAGTCCCTAGACCAATCGCTCGACATCAGGAGCCAATTACAGATATCCAACTTCATGGATTCGGCGACGCTAGCAATCAAGGAGTCAGTGCTGTTGTATACACGCTCGCCAAACAAGACTCCAGAGACACCCAAACGTTAGTGGCTGCAAAGTCTCGCCTGGCGAAACGTGGACTTACCATACCTCGGCTAGAATTGGTCGCTGGTCATATGACAGCAAACCTGGTTAGCAACGTGGTGAAGGCGATCGGTGAAGAAAGAGTGTCACAACAACATGCATGGCTTGACAGTACAGTCGCTCTGTATTGGATACGAGGCATGGGGGAGTACCGACAGTTTGTGGCTAATCGTGTCATAAAAATTCAAGCTCACTCCAACATCGAATGGCATCACGTTCCTACTTCAGAGAACCCTGCTGACATATGTAGCAGAGGAGGGCAGCCGACAGAGAAATGGCTAAATGGTCCAACGTGGCTTGGTAATGAAATGAAATGGCCTGAAAGCCCCCATTTCCATGCATCCTCAGAATCACAGTCTGGAGCCAAGGTAACTCGAGAAGTGTCAGCAGCCGCGGTGGCTGAGCCTGAGCGAGATGATCATGTAAACTTACTTGAGAAACATACCTTGACAAAGACCCTGAGAATCGGTGCGTGGGTCAAGAAATTTACATACAATTGCAAGAATAAGAGAGACAACCGAATTGGAGGTCCTCTTCGTTATGACGAAATCCTGAAGGAAGAGAAGTGGTGGATTGCTAAAGTCCAGAAGTTGATTTCAGAAGAAGAACGAGAAAAGCGTAAAGATCTTAACCTGCAAACAAATCAGGACGGACTGTTAGAATGTCGCGGCAGAATTGAGGGACACTACTCACTGTACCTCCCTGATGCTGCACTGTTTTCAACGAAGCTGGTCGAGCGGGAACACAGAGCAACCTTGCATGGTGGAATTTCGCTTACAATGACTAGGATAAGACAGCGTTACTGGATTCCTAAATTGCGCAGCCTCGTGAAACGGGTTCGAAGCAATTGTTGGGGATGCAAGCGAAGTCAAGCAAAACCATTGGGAGACCCTTCATCTGGTCCACTTCCAAGCAGCAGGACAACGGGGAACACACCATATTCCGTGATCGGTGTGGACTTTGCGGGTCCTATTCTTTACCGTGCAAGCAAGAAAATTGAAAGGAAAGCTTACTTAGTGGTTTTCGCGTGCAGCCTCACACGAGGAGTACACCTGGAACTGTTAAAGAGCCTTGAAACTGAAGAGTTTCTACAAAGTTTTAAACGCTTTATTGCCCGACGAGGAAGACCTTCAGTCGTGTATTCCGACAACGGAGCCACCTTTAAAGCGGCAGTAACATGGCTAAGGAAAGTTTGGAAAGAAGAGAAATTCCACGAATTAAGCTCTTTGCAAGCTTGAGATTGTTTGGCGATTCAACCTCGCGAAAGCACCATGGTGGGGTGGTCAATACGAGCGCCTCATTGGTATTTTCAAATCTATGTTTCGTAAGACAGTCGGGGGTGGACTCTTGTCCTTTTCGGAACTAGAAGAAATCGTGCTCGACGTAGAAGTGTGCATGAACAACCGTCCCCTAACATACTTGGAGGATGATCCTCAGCTGCCTGTCTTGACACCAAACTCGTTTGAGTCGTTTCTGTTCCAACAACCAACAGCAGTACCAGAGCTACAACCTCATCAATTAAAAGAGCGTGACCTGAAAAAACGTCTTAGGTTCCTTTGTACAACGAAAGATGGACTATGGAACCGCTGGACACGAGAGTATCTCACAGGACTAAGGGAGAGACATAAAATTGTTCGTGGATCTAAAGCAGAATGCCCAAATGTAGGAGATGTTGTCATTGTTAAGGGAGAAAACAAGAATAGAAATACCTGGAAACTGGGAAAGATCGTCCGACTTATTACCGGCAGAGACGGAGTGGTGCGAGGCGTAGAGTTACGGGGAGTGGAAGACTGGAGCGACCGTTGCAACTAATTTACCCTCTGGAACTTCATTGCGACCAAGAGGCTGTCGAACGGGAAGCTCCACCACTTAATGCACAAGCGAAAGAATTCAGACCTAAAAGGAAAGCGGCAGAGAATGCAGCAGCGAAGATCGATAAAGTACTTGCGGAGGAAGAGGAGACGGTGATAGATTGAACGATAGATTGAACGATAGATTGAACGAGAGATTGGGACATTAGTTCTTTTTGTTGCATACATCTCATTAGAAAAGATGTATGGGGGAGTGTGTCGGAACTAATGTAAACATTAACAGCAAACACTATACTAATCAACTAACATAAATAATATAGTTCATGTTTATTATACTAACCTAATTACCAATTCACCGGAAGTGACGGCGCTAATTCATTGTTTGGGTTCGCCAATAGACAGAGACTATTTACATGTGCTTTATGGGGGAATATATTTGTTATTGGGATCGGGAAATTTGTAGTATTTTGTGAGAATATTTGAGAGAGAAATTGTGATTTTAAACTGTGATTTGCTGTGTTTCTTATTATTATTGTCTGGGCGACGGGCAGTAGTTCCCTATAGTGAGCACATGTGTGTAGGTTTTATGTTTTAGGTACGTTGAAATAAATAACGATTTTGAAGATATAACACTTTCCTCTTCCTGTTATCGCCCACCGAATTGTGGTTCTGACTGGGTAAATATGTTTAATGCTTTCCTCGACCAAGTGTGTGATCAATTTGATAAGGTAATGATTTCTGGTGACTTCAATATGCCACATATTTCCTGGAATAACACTGGTGAAACTCTTAGCATAAGTGATTCATTCATCGAAGCCTTATAATATCATTTCCTAACTCAGATCAACAGCATCCCAACTCAACACCTTTGACCTTATTATTACCAATGTACCTGAACATGTTAACATAACTGATGTGGAATCGCCAGACAACGCCGTCGTTTTTACAGACCATTGTGTATTCCATTACGAGTTTAATGCATTTGTTGACATTCCAAAAACAAAGAGTCAAAGATTCGTTTACAAGACCTTACAACTACAAAAATGGCAACTTTGAAGGTTTACATTCTTCGTTATCTACCATGGACTTATCTTTGTGTATAGAACATGACAATATTAACAACGACTGGAAATCTTGGAGAAGTATACTAAACTAGAAGGACGATAACAACAGCCCTGAATAAACGGAACGATTTTACACCTGAATAAGAAAAAGAACACTGTGCGGAAAAAAAACTAAAATCGTCCCCGACGAGTCATTTACGTGAAAAATTGGGGAACAACTGGACATTAAAAAATTGGACATTGGGGAACAACTTCCAAGATAATCCAAAGCGATTTTGGTCCGCAATGAAACAGTTCAAAATGCCCAATATCCCGGCCCAGAAACAATCTCGACAGCTGGAACAAAGAACGATCAAGAATCTCAAAAAGAAAATCAAAGCTGACAACTCTGACGATATTACGTCCATGTTTAACAGCTGCTTTGGATTAGCATATTTGACTCTGATGACTCCAGTCATGAACTCGAGACTCCAGAAACCAGTCATGAACTCGAGACTCCAGTCTGAGATCATTTTGACAGTTGAGGGAGTTTAGGCAGTATTTGAAACACCGATTCACTGGATGTTACAAAAGCCACAGGACCTGATGTCCCAGTCCGTCTTTTCAAAGAAACAGCTCCTTTTATTTCAATATCTTTGTGCACGTCAAGGTGCTCTCCCCGAAGATTGGAAAATCGCCAACATGTTTCCTGTGTTTCCTTTTTGACCCAATACAAGGACAGCATTGGCGACAAAATTGTATATTTTTCCAAAAAGTCTGTGTGCTAGAAGATCAATCATGCTGATGTAGCCACATTATCAGAATTAACCAGCGACCGCGAGGAAGCGGACAAGAAACTCGTTGCATTTGTGCGCACAAGCGAATTGCCACCTAGCTCAACTGCAACGGTACGGTCGCCATCTGAGCAGCATATTAGCAGCGGGAAGAACAGGAAAATCATCGATGTGACGTCAACTGCATTGTCCCTTGGTCACAGAAAAGCTCTTTTGGGAATGCATGGCTTTTCCGGAAACGATTTTGTATCTAGCTTTTTTCGAAAGGGAAAGCAGGCCGTGTGGAAAGCCGTGACCAAGAAAACTGC